GGGCCTAAACACCCTGGAGGGAACTAGCATCTCTGGGACTGAGGGGCCGCGTTTCCAGTTTTGGGAGAGAGAATGGGGGGCTTGCGCTTTGGTTTGGGGGCGAGTGTCCTGTTTCGAGCTGGCCTACGCTCGGGTTAGAGGACAGCCTCAGAATTGGGGCTCCCGGGCCCCAGGGGGTAGACTAGGTGCTCCGAGGGCGATTCCCTTCCAGGAAACGGTGTTGCTTTGCGAGGTGGTGTTTGGTTCCGTGGGGAGCCAGGTGGGATTTGGGAGACCCCGAGATGTCGGAGACGGGACTGCGAGGCGACGGCTCTGGGTTTTGGTTCTTCGCTTTGTAACTTGCTGAGCTCCAAAGGACGGCTTGGGGGCTTGGAGTTGCCTGTTAGACTCTGGGCTTCGTCCCGGGTCTGCGAGTTTGCACACTGGGGACTCCGGGAGGAAGGCGAGGCAGCCAAGAGGGGCCCGAAAGGGGCTGGGAGCGATTGGAGCGAAGCTACGTCTTGTACTTTTGGCAGCTGCGGAGGAGCGCTGGGCTCCGCCTCCTCTGCGCCCTGTTGCCGGCGCTGCCTCTTCCCCGGGCTGCGCGATCTAACCTCACGTTTTCTTCTCTCTCCTAGGCTTCTTTTGGAAGTTCGAGCCCAGGTTTGTCCTATTTTCTTACCTCTTCAGTGGCTCCCACAGGGTAATGGGGGGCTCAGAGATCTATTGCTACAGGTTTTCCCACAAAAATTTGTCCTGCGAGTTTTTCATCACTTTGGTAATTGAGTTGTTCGAGGAAGGAACTGTTACACTTCTCTTTTTTTTTCTTGCGTGTTGAAAAAATAACTTGTTACAAAGCTGCTAACTGACAGGTGTTCTTTTTAAGTACTATATCTTTAATTCTCACATGTCTTTTTTTGTCCAAGCCCAAAACAGTTAATCCCAAACAACTTTCCACTAACTTTTGCAATTTAGTGTAGATAATAATTTTTTCCCCGAGAAACCGACTCTTTAATTTGTCGAAACTTTGGGATTACTTATATGGATTATTAACCATGACTCCCTATCTCCCCTTATTTTCTCTTCTAAATTTTTCATAATTGAGAAATGTCTATGGGCTCTATTAAAATTGGAATATGAGAGTTAGGTAAAGCTACCTTAAAAGAAACATAGAATTTCCAAGTTTGACACAGAAAAGTGCTAATACAGACTTTTTGAGGTCAGAGGACCCTAGATCATCTAGTACAGTGTTTAACCTTTTTGGAATCAGAAACTTCTGTCAGGATATGATGACAGCAAGAGACGGTCTCCAGAAGTCTGCACATATGCATAATTGCATACATTTTGGGGCTTTTGGAGCCCCTGAATCCCATCAGGGAGAGGACAGCTTTGTTTAATTTCTCACCCCCTTTCCAGCCCCATTTTGGCTGCCTCTTTCCCCTCTAATAGTCTCCAGGAAAAGTACCTCTGAACTACGCCAACTCTCTTATTTTACACTTGAGAAGACTTTTAAATAACTCCACTGAGAGTCACCTAGTTAATAGAGCCTGGAAAAGTTCGGAAATCTTCCCTTACAACATGTTGCCTTAGAGTGAAGAGCCTGTTTCCTTGTGTATTATTTTGTACAATATTTAGGTGTCTTTTAAGGTCTCACTTGATTATCATTGAAAGTATAAAATAATTGGTCACTGAGTAGAAGAAATTTGTGGTTGTTTTTAAAATAGCTATCTGTTTTTATGTTTAAAAATTGTTTTAAAAAGTTTTTCTAATTTTGAGACAAGCATTTCCTTGTCATAACTGATTTCAGGAAGGAATATTTATATACATGATGCCAAACATCTGGATGATAATGGAATTTTTCCATTTTGCATCACTGTCTGCCTTTAAGAAGTTGCAATCTAAATAGCAAGAAGATTGTGTAGTTTTGGTGTTTAAACAAACTTTTATAACCTGTTTTTAATCATTTACCCAATTTTAAAGAAGATTTTAAAGCTTAGAAGAGACTCTTGGTCATCTAAGCCAGCACTATGCATTTTACAAATGAAAAACTGGACTCGGCCCAGAAAGTTGAAATGACTTGCCTCAGGTCCTCAGCAAGCCAGGGACAAAGCCTAGAGTAGACCTCAGGCCCTTTGCTTTCTGGCCCTTATTGAATACCTTCTAGTTTAAGAAGGAAGAGTGCTGTGACAAGTGATATGGGGATTACAAAAGAGGACAGAGCTGTGCCTGAAAGAGGTGGAAAAGTTACCATCTATTTCAAACCTGACCCTTAGTAATATTACAGAGGTTTCCAGGAATTCCTCAAAATAGAAAATTCATAATGGTGGATGTTCTGCTTTTGAGCTCTTTAATAAATATTCATCTTTCTCCTTAAAATTAAGCTCTGTACTTAAAATCTGTACTTCGACAGGTTTTAAAATGCACAGATAATCTTTTAACATTAAAAACATAACATCATATAATGAATGTAAGCTTCCTAAAGAATTAAGTGCCATAGAAATTGTGTTATTTTTAGAACTGATGATTATAGTTCTCCAAACTCAGAATCAAAATCACTGAATTATGTCTGTGGTTTTTTTTTCATAGTGAAAAATCTTTGGTGTTGTTCAGCATTTTGGTAATGATTTCACACTGTCCTTAAATGTTTGAAATTTAAAATGTTAAATAGCTTGACGAAAAACAGACCAAACTTTTTATGTTGACTCTGCTTCCTTCCACTTCTCTTTCCCTCTACCCAAAGATTCTGGTACTTCTTTCCTTCTATGCTCTGAGAGTCACTGGTCTGATTGAATTAGATATGAGAGTAAAATGGAGAAAATTCCAGTTTTCATAAATTTGGTTTCATTCTCTTGGGATTGTGGATCTTATTCATTTCTCAACTTGGTTTTAAGAGTATCCTGTTGACTTCATATTTGCTATTAAAAAGCATTACAATTTTATAAACAAATATGAATTGGCCAAAACAGCTTGCAACTGGATACATCTCCCAGAAACTTTTAGATGTGATTTTCTGTTATTTCCTTCACATACCCTTAAAAACTAATTATTAGTAGTCCAAAGAAAAGTGTGCTCTTACAGTTTAATGCCTGTCTGGTTAATGCTGGGGAGCTTGAAATACAGGGGACATGAAAAGTGACAGTAGTTTTAGAGATTGATTTGCTGTATAGCTGCTTCAAAAAAACTTTTATTTGTTCTGGGAACCAGATTTCTATTGTTCCTATTGTTTTGTATCTTTGAGGGTTATAATTGGGCAGAATTTATATTCTCTTTGCCTGAAGTGTTGAGCTTTAGTGTATAATAGATTCTTGTGAAATCTTCCATTCATAGTCCTTGTAACATTTTTCTTTTGCTTTTAGACAAATGTATTAAACTGATAAACAGGTTCAACTTTTAGATCATTTTTTAAGGACTGCTCCATTTAAATCACTTTGCTACTATTATAAGTTGTGTTCTCATGGACTAGACTTCTTATTAAAGTGTTGTTAAATTACTCTGCCTTGTTCTTTTGCTGATTTAGATATCTTTTCAGAACTGTTGGTCTTTATAACCTGTTGAGTGTATGTAGTAAATGCATTTAATAAACCTTACTTATAAACATTAAAAGGGACTGGCAGAAGAACACAAATTATTTTCTTTTGTAAGTAGCATTGTGAATGTGTAAAGTGATGTAGTTTGTTTCATTCCAGTTGGGTCTTTGTCTTCTGAGGATCATGATTTTGACCCCACTGCTGAGATGTTGGTCCATGACTATGATGATGAAAGAACTCTTGAAGAAGAGGAAATGATGGATGAGGGTAAAAACTTCAGTTCTGAAATTGAAGACTTAGAAAAGGTAAAGGATTTTACTTTCATATCTTAATAACGTAAAGATTTTGAAACTGTACTATAAATTATTTTACAGTCTATCTGAAATAAAATTAGGTTCAGCATCCTTGTTTTTGACCTAACTTTTAAAGATTTTCACTGATTTTCTCATTATTTTGAGGGAGAGTCTAATAAATGAGTAAATTCTCATTTAATTTTTCAAAATTGTTTTATATGTCTTAATCTAGTTTTTAAGTTCTGGAAGCACAGTAAAATATGTACATCTGGTCACCTCACAGATGAGAATATTGGGATATAGAGAACTATCAGCCCTAAACTTGGTTCTGAGTCCTAGCCCAGCCCAGTGCATTATACCACACTATTCTACTTAGGGTCACACTTGAGTTTAACTAAACACTGCAGTAGATACAGGGAGAAGTACTATAGGAACATTGAAAGATAAAAAGTTTTAATTCTATTTTTAAATGTAATAGTGTCCCATTTTTCTACCCTTTTTAGTCATCTTTTTAAAAGTTGGCAAGAGTAAATGTAGTTTATAACTCTTTAAATCCCAAATCAGTATAATTTGAACTGAACTGGATTTTAAACAAGTATTTATACCTGGACTGCAGAGAGAGGTCTCCATAGGGGTCACTTGAAAAAAATAGGATTATGCTTACTAAAAGTTAACCTTATCTCTAATCAGACCAGAATAACAAAAGCTTTCAGGAATAATATTGAATAATAATAATCCTTTGAATTTTTATACTTCTTTTTCTTGAAGAAGACAAGACCCTTTCTTAAATAATCTCTTCTGCTATCTTTGTGAGACAGAGATGAGCTCTTATTGCATTTCTCCCTTTGCATTAATATACAGGGAAACTGAAGGCATTCTTCAGGGTCTCGACCCTAGGCTTACTCTGGTGGACCTGAAAATTTCTAAACGTGTTTATTTACTTGGCAGAGTAATCCAACTCAATTGTTATTAGATTTAATCATTAAACCCCCACCAACTTATAGCCAAACATTTGGGAATATAGAGATAAGATGGTTGTGAAATACTTAAGAAGAAAAGTTTTGCTATTGCTCCTTTCAGGGGTGATAATAAAATGTTGCCTTTTGATTAAAAAAAAGGTGCCCAGAAGTCTCGAGCTCTGCCTTGGCTTTTTGCAGGCATTTGCTTCCTACCTCTTATGAATGGGTCTAGAATAACAGAATTATAATTCAGCTACTGTTATCATTAAGTCAGGACTGTGGTAGGCTCTGGGAATGCAAAAATGAGCAATTTGACAGTGCCTCTGAACTCAAGCAGCTTACAGTTTAATGTGGAGTGACAAAGGGGAACAAAGAATTTTAATATGATATGCTAAGAACTATGGAGGTAGACAGGCGCCTGGGTGGCTCAGTTGGTTAAGCATCTGACTTTTGATTTCTGCTTAGGTGATGATCTTGTGGTTTGTGAGTTTGAGCCCCATGTCAGGTTCTGGATGACTGCGCAGAGCCTGCTTGGGATTCTGTGTTTCCCTGTCTGTTTCTGCCCCTCCCCTTCCCTTGCTCGCTCGCTCTCTCTCTCTCTCTCTCAAAAATAAGTAAATATTAAAAAAAACAAAAAACTAAAAAACTATGGAGGTAATAAGCATTGAGAGCTGTGGAAGAATGTGTATAGTAAATGGTGTTTAGCCTAATGTGGAAGTTCATGGAATGCTTGTTAGAATAGAGAGTTCTCTCTTGTACAGTTTTAAGTGAAGACACCGCTTTGGGCCTGTGGCAAAAGTTTCAGGTGGTCTCATAATGTGTCTTCCTTGTTCATGTGTTGTTAAACATGGGAAGACAGCATAGTTAACACCATGACATAGGAAAATGGTATAAATGAATTGGACTGCATTTTAGACATGCAAATAGTCTTTTTGTCAGTAAAGTAGTAAGAATTTAAAATTTCATTTAATGTGATAACTCAGTTACTACTTGAGTGTGAGTAATCTGGTAGAGATTTTTATGGGCTCTTAAGATTTTGTTTTTCAGATGTGTAGGTTTTATTCTTCTAGAGATTGTAGTAATAGCTGCTTTGATCTGTGTTTAGTGGGTTTTAAAAGGACATTGGGGAAGATATGGAGAAATAATGAACAGCAAAGAATTACGGAGCTATTCACAAAAATACCTAGTCCTTTTCCTATGATTTTCATTTTGTTTAATAAACACGGGTAATTAATTTTTTTGCTTTGTAATGATATCTGTCACTGAATTTGTAGATTGAGAAAAATTATAGGTCTTTAGATATTTCAACTTCTTTCTACTTGGACAGTTTGGCTTCTTGGTATTCTATCACATTCTTAGAAATTGGGACAGAAAAAAAAAAAGAAATTGGGACAGAAAGATAAAGGTTATCTTTAATTTATTTTTTTATTAAAACTGTTTTTAATGTTTATTTTGAGAGAGAGAGAGAGAGAGAGACAGAGCACAGGTGGTGGAGGGGTAGAGAGAGAGAGGGAGACACAGAGTCCATTGCAGGCTCCAGGCTCTGAGCTGTCAACACTGAGCCCGATTCAGAGGTCAAGCCCACACACCACAAGATCATGACCTGAACTGAAGTCAGACACTTAACTGACTGAGCCACCCATGTGCCCTGATACAGGTGATCTTGAAACAGCTTCTAGTGAAGACCAAAGAACTGTGTCTCCATCTAGAAGCCTAATCTTCTCTCATTGAACAATGGATAAGAGGAGCTATTTCTTTTTTTTTTTTAATTTTTTTAAATGTTTTTATTTATATTAGAGAGAGTTTGCGTGAGTGAGGGAGGGGCGGAGAGTCAGAGACAGAATCTGAAGCAGACTTCAGGCTCTGAGCCATCAACACAGAGCCTGACGTGGGGCTCGAACCCACGAACTGTGAGATCATGACCTGACCTGAAGTCAGACGCCCAACCAACTGAGCCACCCAGGTGCCCCAAGAGGAGCTATTTCTTTTTTTTTTTTAATTTTTTTTCAACTAGTTATTTATTTTGGGACAGAGAGAGACAAACATGAGCGAACGGGGGGGAGGGCAGAGAGGAGGGAAGGAACACAGAATCGGAAACAGGCTCCAGGCTCCTGAGCCATCAGCCAGGAAGCCCGGAAGCCCAATGGGGCTGCCTGAACCTGATCAAGGAGACCTTGAGATCGGTCGTGACCTGGCTGAAGTCGGACGCTTAACCGACTGCGCCACCCAGGCGCCCCAGAGGAGCTATTTCTAAGAGTGACTGACAGCCCAGTTTCTCTGAACTATAATTCTTATGTGTAGTAAAGCATAACTATGTAAATGTAGTCCCTGTTCTTTATTGATGTTTAATGAAACATGAAAATGAATAAAAGAAACAGTAGATAGAGATACCAGTGTAAAGAGTAAAGATTATTTTTAGAATAAATTTAAAATTATTTCTATATCATTTAATGTATTTTATTAGTCTTTTATTATTGGAACATTGTTTTAGCTATTATTACATGTTCACAGTCTTAGGGGCTTGATGTTAATGTTTGTTTTTAAAAATTACAGTAAGGGGCGCCTGGGTGGCTCAGCTGGTTAAGCATCCAACTCTGGATTTTGGTTCAGGTTATGATCTCACAGTTCGTGAGTTCAAGTCCCACATCAGCCTCCACACTGACAACGTAGTGCCTGCTTGGAATTCTTTCCCCCTGCTTTCTCTACCCTTCACCAGCTCTAGCTTGCACTCCCTCTCAAAATAAATAAACTTTTTTTAAAAAAATACAAAAATTACAGTAAATTTTTATTCTGCAAGTAAACAAACTCGGTAGCTTGTAGTCTGTAAATATGACCTGTATTTTAGTGCTTATAAATTTTTAGTTACATTAGATATTACGGAAAATAAGAGACAAAAAAAACCCCACTTTGTATAGTAGCACTTAGAAGTAGAGAATACATTATGTGACTACATTTATGTCTTTGAACATATAAGGTTTACATCATGTCTTTATATTTTAATTTATTCATGTTAATTTTTGCTAAGGTTTTAATAGTCTAGAACCATCACTTTTAGAAAAGTTCTATACATTATTATGTAGATTTCCCCCTTGATATTCACTGTGAAATGAGAAAGTGAAAATCACCTTTTCTACCACTTAAAGTGTGGTATAGATCCTTCCTGTTTTGTGGGGTTTTTTTTAATTATTTAAAAAAGCTATGTGTATTTTGCATGTTTTATGATATCAGACTGGTATTATATGAAAAGTGATCTACATTTCACTTAGACCATTTCTGTTGACCAATCTAGCAGCACCATGAGATGGATTGGATGAGTATTAGCATTATTTTCTTGGTTAAGAGGACTTGTTGATTGTGAAATGTACCATAGATTTAGAAATTATATAGATGGGGGCAGAGATGAACAGTACTATGGGAAATCTGTATGTTGGTAATGGAATGCATCCTGATTTGTGGTATGTGAAGTTATGTATCATAGGATCAGGGAAATTATGATACTCTTTATTTACAGATAAAGAAATGGAGGTGAGGGATTTTAGGTGATTTGTCTATGGTAATGACACTGAGTCCTCTGCCTCTAAATTTTATGTTCTTTCTGATATAAAACCTTTGCATTAAAAAACAGTTAGTTCCCTTAGGAGTAGACTCAATGTGCTCCTTAAAATTTAAATAGGGTCAACAAAATACCCGAGAAAAATCCTCCTACCTGGAATAAGGTGCTAGATCAAACTTTTAAGATGTTGATAGGCTCTAATAGAAACTTCATTTGTAAAGTGCTTCAGAGATTAGATTCACCTTTTCTGTATTTTAACATCAGCTCCCTTTTAGTACTAGTGCCATTCCTTGACTATATTAGTGAAGTTTCCACTAAGATACCCACCTTCTTTCTCAACAGATGATCATAATTATTTTTATAGAGAAAGTAGGGTTTTCATGAATGACTACCTAGAATCTCCTCTTTGCCCCACACATACAAATATAACTTTTGTACTCATTCTTTCTTCTTTCTTTACTGTCCCTAGAGTATATGCCACATCCCAGGCTAACTCTTAATTCTATCCCTCATGCTCTGAGTCTGTTCTTCCCACTTATTATTTTTTTTTTATTTCAGCATAGCAAGTCCTACTCATATGTTTCCTACATTTGGAAGAACTTTTTTTAAAATGCCTTATTAAAATTTTTTTTCATGTTCATGTTTTTTGAGAATGAAAGTGAGTGAGACTGTGTGAGAGAGTGGGAGAGAGAATCCCAAGCAGGCTCCATGCTGTCAGCACAGAGCCTGATGCAGGGGTCAATCTCATGGTGAGATCATGGCCAGAGCCAAAATCAAGTCAGACACTTAACAGACTAAGTCACCCAGGAGCCCTAGAAGAAATTCTTTTTAACCTGTGTTATCTTTAGTGATTCTTTTTTTATAGTGTATGCACTTTTCCCCCCTCTATTCAGTCCTCAACTTTGTTTCTCCCAATAGTCTGTAGGGTCACCAATAATTCCTGATTGATAGGTACAGAGAATTCATGTCTCTCTATATCTCAATTGATTTCTCTTTGATATTTGACTTAAGTGACTATCTCTAGTCTCTCCATAGTTGTTTCTTCCTTAACTTATGTAATTCTGCTTTCACCTAGTTCTGCTCTCCAGTATCTCCCTCTGTTGTATTTATGAGCTTTTCTTCCTTTGCCCATGTTTTAACTGATGGCATTCCCCAGGCCTCTAGATTTTGTCTTCGCACTCTGTATGGCCTTTCTGGATGATCTCATTCAGGCCCACTGCTTCAACTTTTGCCTTGAATTATCATTTACCATCCTACCCTCCACCCTCAAGTTCATTTGTCTGATATTTCTGTTTCATAATGGTGCTATAAGTATTTAGCCTTTTTGGGCCAGAAACGGGCAGTTCATGTAGACTTCACTGTCACTTACTTTCACTTTATCATGTAGACCAAGAAACAGATTCTTTTTTCTTAATTTCACTCAGATAATTCCCTTCCTTAGTTGAGGTTCTCATTCTTGGACTCCCCCCAGAATGTTACTTTCAAAATGCATATTTTGTTTAAAATTTTTTAGATGTGTCCCATTGCCTTTAGGGTAATATATCTGAAAGTTCTTCTAATAAACTATATATTCCTTTCTCTTTTCTGTCTACCCTGTCAACTTCTGTGGCTTTAAATATCATCTAGATGCTAATGAATGCCAGATTTATATCTTTAGCCCAGCTTGATCCTCTAAGCACCAGGCTCCTGGCCAACTTGACTCTTTTGCTTAGATGTTTCATAGTCCTCTCAAATTTAACTCGTGTCTTCTGCAGGACTCTTAATTTTTTTCCTTCACAAACCTTTCCTTCAGTCCTTTCTATCTCAGTAAAAGTTATCACCATGCAGGCAGTTGCCCAAATAGAAATCTGGGGAATCCTCCTTGTCTCCCCCTTTCACTCTCACATCCCGGAACTCATTTGATTCCACCTCCGGATGTATATCATCTATTTACTTCTCTCCATGTCTGTATCACTACCTTAATCAGCATGAGGCTCTTAGGTGGTCTCCCTGCTTTTTTCTTACCTCTCCATCTTCTCACACTTTTCTTTATGTAGCTGCCCAGCATTGAAGAAGAAATGAAGTTATGGCACTCCCCACCTGCCTTTTTTTTTTTTTAAGTCTCCATTTACTTCCCACTGTCCTGGGAGTAAAGGACACTGTCTTTCCTTTGACCTGGTGAAAGTAGATTCTCTACATTATTCTGTATTTCAGGACCCTGTTTATTTCATTGCATTCATCATAATTGGCAATTCTGTATTTGTGTATTGTCACTATCTCTGCGCCCCCACCCCCCCCACCCCCACCCTTTGCACTGACTGTAAACTGTAGAAGGGCAAGACCTGTTTTCATACCAGCACTTGGCACACTGGCCTACTGGCACACAGTAACTGCTCAGTCAGTGTTTCTTATGATATACCACGAGTCCCTAGTATACAGCGCTCATCTGTCAAATCCCTCTTCATCTTTCAAGACTTAGCTCAGTCTTTCCATCCTATGTGGTACCTCCCTAACCTCATGTATTCCCATGAGGAAATGCCATTATTCCCAGACTGTAGTTCTTCCCTTCTCTGTACTCAACAGTGTATGGTGCTATTTCCAGAATTGATTAATGCAGCCAACACATTGTATTATAGTTGTTAACTTACCAGTTTCTTCCATCAGGAGTACAGTCATTGAGAGCAGGGATTTTTCTATAAATTTTCTTTTCTCTATCCATAGCTAGTAGCCTCTGCACAGTATCTAGAATGCAGTAAATTCTGTATTGATGGAAAAGTGGACCTGCCTGTGTATGATGAGTGAAAATTGACATCTCCTCAGGTCACGGAGAGAATCTGAAACTTCTGAGGTTTTGGAGAAATACTGATGACAGATGGTTTGCAAAGGCTGCAACCTAGTCTCCTCTTAAAACCAATATGAGCCAAAGGGAATAGGCTGCATGGAGTCTGCAAGGAGCAGGGCTAAGGAGACTCTAAATCTGGTTCTGGGCACATTTGAGGGGTTCTGTTCATCGATTCAGGAGAAGAATAATTCACGAGGTTTCCTCATGGCATGGGTGAACTTCTGTCCATCCTGACCATCCAACTCAATTTGTGCTGACTCCATGCTACCAAAGCAGCTTTTTAACTCATTTCAATCCCAAGCTGAAAGGATTTCATGAGTGACATGATTGGTATGGTCACTGCAAAAGGCACATGTCTCCTACAGCAAATTTACAAAGTAGCATTCTGTCCTAAACCTTATTCCAAATTCATTTCGCTTGAATCTGTTTTAATAAGGCACAGTGAAAAATAAGTTCTAGTAGACCTATAAAGGTGAAGGTCAGGTTCTTGGGCACCCCCAGAGCCTGAATTCCCTGTGGGGCCTGGTGGGCAATCAGTGGCTTTCCAGAATCATCACTGGCTTCTCTCAGCTCACTTTGTGATATGCTGAGGATATATTTTACATACTCTGCTTTAGCATTTCATGCTTTTTGCATCATGACTTAGGCATTTTGCCTTAAAAAGAAAACTAAACCCATAAGCAAGCTTAATGAATCTCTTAATAGATGGGCATAAACATCTTTACAATATTGAAAAAATTAGTCTATAGATACATTGTTTTGTGTTTATATATTTGAATAATTATAAATAGTTCTATACACTTTAGTAGTTGAATTAAGATATTTTAAAAAGGAAATACAATCCTTATTTTCTGATGGATTAGTTGGGGGAAGAGGGTGCCAGTATGTGGCACGGCATAGGTACTCATTACACAGGAAGCACTGCAGCCAAAGTATGTGGTTTTATCAAAGCAGTGCTGCCAGTAAGTGGTACTAGGATTTGAACCCAGAACTGAGCCTTCTGTTTTGTCACCTGTAAAATGGTGGTAATGATACAAACTTCAGTAGATGGTTATGGAAGAGAAACCTAAAACAACTGTACAGAATATAGCTATGATAGTAGTAATATAAAAGGATAATTTCTAACAGTAATATATAAATATTGTTCGTGTTAGTGAATGCTCAGCAGTGGTTTCCCTTCAGGTATCATTTCATTAATATGAAGAATAAACCAAGTGGTCAACTGTTAATTGTGAAGAAACAAGCTAAAAATTACATGAAGTTATTGATTGATTAATTGTGAATGCTTTCAAGGCAAATCATTATACCAATGTGAATGCTAAAAAAATAAAAGTCACTAAAGCAAATATTTGAGGAATTTTTTAAAGGGTGAAATGATAGGGGGGGCCTGTGTGGCTCAGTTGGTTAAGCATCTGACTTCATCTCAGGTCGTGATCTCCTGGTTCGTGGGTTCGAGCCCTGCACCAGGCTCTGTGCTGATAGCTCAGAGCCTGGAGCATGCTTTGGATTCTGTGTCTCCCTCTCTCTCTCTCTGCCTCTCCCCTGCTCACGCTCGCTCTCTCTCTCTCTCTCTCTCTCTCTCTCTCTCTCAAAAATAAATAAACATTAAAAAAAATAGTGAAATGATGCTGGAAAATAAAAATGAAGATGTTAATTTTTAAGGCTTTTTTTAATACGTTAATAAAAGCTCTAAGTCTTTAAGCCTATTTTCTAGCAGTAGTACAAAAAGAAAAACTAAAACTTGGCTTTGATTTGATACTGCTGTTTTGTTAATCTGTTTTATGAACATTAAGTTTATCTGTACTTCTGTATTGTGGCATTTACTGAGTTTATGTTTGTGCCTTGGCTTGACTAGGAAGGAAACATGCCTCTAGAAGATTTACTGGCATTCTATGGCTATGAACCTACAATTCCAGCAGTTGCAAATTCCAGTGCAAATAGCTCCCCAAGTGAACTTGCTGATGAACTACCAGACATGACACTAGACAAAGTAAGTAACAAACATTTAAAAGAAAAATTCCAGATCCAAAAATAGCCATTATCATTGGTTGTTTTTTATTAGTTTCCTTTTAATTGAAAGCATTTTATAATTCTGAAATGTAAACTTCTTATTGGCCCCCATTGCTCTTGTCATTTTGGTGACCCAATTTAAATATTGTTTGGATTTGATCACACTACTTTAAAAGTACTAATAGCTTCCTGCTGCTTTGTATGTTTGAATGTTCTCCCCCAGTTTTTTCTTCCCTATGTTGATATATTGTGTCTAAACTTAGATTTTGCCCTCACTTCTTTTGATGCTCTGACTACTTGAATGCATTGATTAATAAATCCCTCAGAAGCCTTCAAACCAAGCTGACTTAGATGTGGAGTGGTTAGAGAGAAGTTCTGTTTTGTTGGGCTCTGTGAGTGACAGCAGCCACAGTAGACAAGGCCATTGTGATGTATCTGTAACATTGTTGGTTGTTGGGAAGGTATAGTTCCTGCTGAGGAAAGTTCACACAACCATGGTCTCTGCTAACTTTCTTTGGTCTTTGGAAAGCTTTCCTTGCCTTTCAGATAACAGGCAGGGAGAGGAATCCACATCTTGGAACCTCTTCCTGTGAGTTTTGTTGTTCCCCCTTTCCAGTCAAATGTGATACTACTACTGTACCATACCTTAATGACTATAGTCACCTAGCGAATATTGAGTGCCTACTAGGTACCAGGCACAAGATAACTATATACTTAAATAATAAATTCAAATCTGTTCTTTTAAAGTTATATCACTAGTCAGAGCTTTTCATTAGTTAGATTTTTTAAATTATTGGAAGAGAAGAGTTTGGAGAAGTTTTTGGTTTTGTTTTATTTATGTTGGCAGAAAATTTAATTGTTAAAAAATTTTTTTTTAATGTTTATTTATTTTTGAGAGAGAGAGAGAACAAGCACTAGTGGGGAAGGGGCAGAGAGACAGAGCGGGGACACAGAATCTGAAGCAGGCTGTAGGTTCTGAGCTGTCAGCACAGAGCCCGACACGGGGCTCGAACTCACAAACTGCGAGATTGTGACCTGAGCTGAAGTCGGACACTTAACCGACTGAGCCACCCAGAAGCCCCGAGTTTAATTATTAATCATTTAGAAGTAAGATTATTTTTGTTGTAAAGTCACTAAAACTTAGCCTGCAGCTTCATATGAGCTTTCTGTTTATCCATAAGTTAAGCAAAATTGTTTGTTAAAAGTGTGTAAGCATTAAAGTTATTAAGTATTATATGTAATTAAATATTAAGTGTTACCACTATTTATGTATATGAAGTAAATTATAAGAGCATTTCAGACTTACTTCTCTCAAAACTAAGGGGGCTTCAACAGATTCTTACTTGTATCATAATACCATAGTAATACATTTATGAATAATATCATGAAGACTTTTTCTTAAATTCTTAAATTGATGAGTTGTAATAATTTTTTTTATTAAATTTTTTTTAATTCTTAAATATTTTTATCTAACACTGCATTCCTATTCTTATAGGAGGAAATTGCTAAAGACCTGCTGTCCGGTGATGATGAGGAAACTCAGTCTTCTGCAGATGACCTGACACCATCTGTGACATCCCATGAAACTTCCGATTTCTTTCCTAGGCCTTTACGATGTAAGAAACCCAATCGTTACTGATTAATAGTAGCATTGATACTCTAGCTCAGGTACACTTTTTTTTTTTTTTTTTTTTTAATTTAAAATTTTTTTTTTCAACGTTTATTTATTTTTGGGACAGAGAGAGACAGAGCATGAACGGGGGAGGGGCAGAGAGAGAGGGAGACACAGAATGTGAAACAGGCTCCAGGCTCTGAGCCATCAGCCCAGAGCCTGATGCGGGGCTCGAACTCACGGACCGCGAGATCGTGACCTAGCTCAGGTACACTTAATGGCATTCAATAGTTTGTCAGAATATTCTAAGTGTTTTCTTTAATTGACGTGCAGTCCTTTAATAATCCAAATAAGATTATCACTTTTTTGATTGGGATAGAGGTAAACTAATATGTCCTTTAAAAACCTGAAGTATTTGTATAGTTTTGCAAGGCTGTATATTTTCTTTCCCAAGATTCATCTGTTACTATGGGAAACAGTTCTTCAGCCATGAAATTTCATGGACATTTTTTGGACTCTCTTAAAAGGCTCTTTACTCTCCTGGTTTTGAAAACTATCAGATGCTCAAAAAGTATTTTTTAGCGATTTATTTCTTTATTTTTTCGTTTTAGTTCTTGGTGTTATCTCTTAATGTATATCAGTAATATTGAAAGGTTTTTGAAGTGAAGTAATTTCTTATCTGCATACTTGCTTATTTTTTAAGGTATTTTGATTGTAGAAGAACTGTTCACTTAACAAATGCAAATACATACACGCTTGTATGTGCACAAAAATATAATTTTGATGGACTTAATGTGCATCTTGGTCTATGTCCCATTCTGGGTTAGTATATAATAAGACCTCCAGTGCTTTCTGTTCTTTTTTTTTTTTTTAATTTTTTTTTTCATTGTTTATTTATTTTTGGGACAGAGAGAGACAGAGCATGAACAGGGGAGGGGCAGAGAGAGAGGGAGACACAGAATCGGAAACAGGCTCCAGGCTCTGAGCCATCAGCCCAGAGCCTGATGCGGGGCTCGAACTCACAGACCGCGAGATCGTGACCTGGCTGAAGTCGGACGCTTAACCGACTGCGCCACCCAGGCGCCCCTCTGTTCTTTTTTAAGGTGACCGTAGTGGTTTTCCTTTTACCTTCCCAAACTCTTTGACATGACCAAAAATTTTTAATCTTTATTTTTGAGAGAGAGAGAGAGAGAGAGAGAGACAGAGCACGAGCAGGGGAGGAGCAGAAAGAGAGAGAGGGAAACACAGATTCTGAAGCAAGCTCTAGGTTCTGAGCTGTCAGCACAGAGCCCAGTGGGGGGCTCGAACCCACAAAAGCAAGTTCATGACCTCAGCCGAAGTTGGACACTTAACTGACTGAGCCACCCAGGTGCCCCATGACTAGACGAAAAATTTTTAAGGATATATACACTTTCTTAGTATTTTCAGTGTCTTGTTTTGACTGGTGTTAAGATCTGAGAATAGTACAAGAAGTTGAGTATATTTGTGCTACTCTCATGTATTCAGACTTTTATAATGTACCATGTGCCAGCTGTTCTTCCGGGTGCTGCAAAAGTAGGCAAAAAAACCTTTTTAAAATTTACTTTTCTTTTAAGCAAATACTACATGTGATGGAGATAAGGAATCAGAAGCTGAAGATGTTGAAACAGACAGTGGTAACTCACCTGAAGATTTGAGGAAAGTAAGTTGAGTTACCATCAGAAGTTAATGGACTGTTTGGACTAACATAACTTTTAAAGACATTTCTGAAGTAACTTAAGATAATTTTGTTGTTACAAGATGAAATTTCTTTTGACTTGTAACTGATTAATAAGTTGGAACTTGTTTTTCAGAATTTATTTTTATAGGGTGTTTTTACTTCTGAATTTTCTTGTAGGAAATAATGATTGGTTTACAATATCAGGCAGAGATTCCTCCGTACCTTGGAGAGTACGATGGTGATGAGAAAGGTAAGGAGGCTTTTGATTTTGATATTGATAATATTTGGTAGGCTGTTACCCCTTAATGTGTTTGTTTAGTTATCTGATTATATACCAGCCTTGGCAGTATAAAGATAGATTTGGAGTCAGTGAAAGTTTGGGACTGACTTAGGAATAATATATCGAAATGAACTTCGGAGCTTGGAGAACCACTCTCTTCTCTGTACAGTGCTTCTTAGCCTTACAGGTATGCGAAGGCAACTGCTAAAGTAGTGGAATGTCTCTGAGGGTGCAGCTGCTTGGCCCACATCCCACTTTAGTAGAAGTGGGTAGAATCTTACCACTTGAGATAATGAGTATTTGAGAGATAAAATCCTCTTGGAAAGACAACTCTTAATGAATAAAGAATATAGATGAAATTTTGTGTGAGGCCTGAAAGAGAAGGTGGTAGAATACAAGGATTCTTCTTGTTTTGTACACCCCTACTTAAGTGTAATCAGTTTTTTCTTCACAATTTTGCTAGATCCTAGTTAACAGTTGGTTCTGAAAATGTGGTGGAAAATAAAGATACAGGTACATTTCTCTAGCCGAAATTGGGAAGCCTGTAGATTTGGCCATGTGCATTTGACCTTTTCCCTAATGAGTTTATTTGTTCTTATGACATGATGGGGCCAAAGTGTCACAGTGATACAACCCTTCCTGAGTCTTTCTTCCTTTTCTTTGTTAGCTCATCCTCTATTTAAAGGAAGGAAGGAAGGACTGGCTACTCTAGGGTTCTTAGCCTTTTCAGTCCCTACCAACAACATTTTCCTAAACTGCTTTCAAAGTGATATTCTCCCAGGGAAGCAAACAGTAGTTGATCACCTTCAGATGCCCCAGTTGCCCACCTAAATGCCACACAAACCCTGGAAGTCAAATACATGCTTAGCAGCTGTCAGTTCTTAGATTAGATGTAATGGAGGTAGTCATCTCTCAGTTCTACACATTCAGAAGGAAAGATATACCTTCTCTATACTTAGAGGGAATAAACCCAAACTATTTTACCTATTTCAGTTTTGACCGAAGAGGAAAGAAACTGGTTCCAGAAATTTACATGAAAAGTCAGTCTTATTATTTCACAGGCATATTTTATTTTTAACTTTCCTGCTCACTGGGAGTGGTGATTCCTGTGGTGATTGCCAACAGTTGTGAATGTAAAGCACTTATCACGGTCCTTGGTACATAGTGAGATTTCAGCAAATTATTTTATTACACACTTGAAGAATGCATTGCACTTGAAGCAATGGGATAAGTACTTGGGCCTCTGTGTTACTTAATTTTGTGAAGTAGAAGCTTTAATTATGGTGGCAATGTGGACATTGATAGAATATATACCTTATTTGAGTGACATGTCACTCATTAGTATATCAGCCTCTTGAAGAGATTTTGGAAAGTTTACGTCTCTTACTGTTAATCATTCATTTTTGATTAATTTGCTTCCTCCTTTAAATAAAATTCACCTTTTGGGAGGAAATCAGTAAAGTAAAAACCTACCTTTCTTAGGTATTTCATTATTGGCAGATATTTTGGTTTTTATTGATCTTTGTTTGCTTGTTTTATTTCTTTACAGTTTTTAACCTGTATATAATCATCATAAAGACAGGGAGTTCAGTGAGGTTATTAAAGAATTTTCACAGGTTATTTTTATTCCCTCATTAGGGAGAGTATAAAACCTCTCCTCTGAGTTTTACATTAGATTTTACAGGGCATAGAAAGCCTTCTGATTGGATAGTAAATCCAACCAGCGAGAAAGCTACTTGCTCTAGCCACTGGAACACTTGGCCCTTAATAAAGTTAAAAAAATTTTTTTTAAACCTTTACCAATGAAGGACTCACCTTGCCAGACAATCAAATTGCTTGTGTCCTCAAATAGTCCCAGTGTGTAGCATATCAAAGAAGAGGAAGAACAGTTTGTATACATCTATGAGCATGTTCATTATTTAGTATGTTAATGGGATTTTCTTTATCAGTGTATGAAAATGAAGACCAGCTACTTTGGCGTCCTGGTGTGGTTTTGGAGAGCAAAGTTAAGGAGTACCTTGTTGAGACCTCATTAAGAACTGGAAATGAAAAAATAATGGATAGGATATCTGCAGGAACACACACAAGGGACAATGAACAGGTATTCTTCAAATTTTGTCGAAATAGCAGCTAACTAGTCTCTGCTTGATTTTCTTATATTCGATTAAAATATTTCTTACGTGTGAACTGGATATCTCTTTTTCTGATAGATTTTAATTTTTTTAAAATGTTTTTATTTATTTTTGAAGGAGAGAGAGACAGAGCATGAGTGGGGGAGGAGCAGAGAGAGAGAGGGAGACACAGAATCTGAAGCAGGCTCCAGGCTCTGAGCCATCAGCACAGAGCCCGATGCGGGGCTCGAACCCACAAACTGTGAGATCATGACCTGAGCCGAAGCCGGACGCTCAACCGACTGAGCCACCCAGGCGCCCCAATTTGTTTTTTTTTTAATGTTTAGTTCTTGAGAGACAGAGAGAAACAGAGCACGAGTGGGGAAGGGGCAGGGAGAGAGAGGGAGACACAGAATGTGAAGCAGGCTTCAGGCTCTGGGCCGTCAGCACAGAGCCCAGCACGGGGCTTGAACTCATGAATCATGAGATCATGACCTAGGCCGAAATTGGACGCTTAACCAACTGAGCCACCCAGGTGCCCCCTGATAGATTTTTGAAACTTGGAAAATACTGGCTTATAAAAAGTCCCAAGAGCTGGTAGTGATAACCATTCCATATTGTTTGATGTCTTCTGGTCTTTTCTTCTGTGTATATGTGCACATCTTAATTTGAGTCACTTACTTTCCTTTGCCATTGAAAATTCTTTAGTATCTCATTCCTGATGATTTTATATATTCCATCTGTAGCTATAATGTCACTTAACTTAAACATTCTCTATGCTTAGACTTGTAGGTTTTATAATAAAGATATTCTTTGGATTACTCTCGAACTTTATTCAGGAAATGTTTGAAAGTATTTTGTATTAAGGTTGTATAAATTTGCTTTAGGAGCATTTGTTAAGCACTGTGTACCTATAGATGCAGAATACTCCTGATTGTATGTGGGATGGGGCTGGGAGTAATACCTATTAGGGCTTTTTTTTTTTTTTTTTTGGATGCCCCTAGTTTTGCCCTCTGATACCATTTTGCCCCTCTTGTATTACTCTTCACCCTGTATCTTTAGCCTAGGTGATCCTAACTGAAATGAATATCCAGTGATAGTTGGACTCAGCCTTGAATTCCCAAGTAACATAGAGAAGTTATAGAAACTGAATTTCAGAGTATCTTTCACCTGTCAAAAAGAAATCCCATTGGGTTTTTGTACTGATAATCCATGAAACTATAAATTAATTTTGCAAGAATTAGTGCCTTTAAAACATTAAACCTTCCAGTTCAAGAACATGGTCTGACTTTCCATTTATTTTACTTTTTTAATCACTCAAATGTTTTTGTTTGTTTGGGTATCACATCCATCTAATTAACTTAATTCTTCAGTATTTGAAATACGTGATTTTAATACTTTTGTAAATGGGATCTCTATTATAATGGTATGTTGTTAATATAGAGAAATACCAATTTTTAAAAATTTATTTTTTCTCAAGCTGTTGAAACATAATTTTTCAGTTGTTTTTATCAGGCTTTCTAGTCTTTAAGTAGCCATAACTCAGAGATGTCTGGTAGTGATAGTGATTTGAGGCCTGCTTTTGATGGAAAGTAATCATCTAAGGTTTTTACATTAGGAATAATACCAGTGTGGGGCACCTGGGTGGCTCAGTCAGTTAAGCGACCGACTTTGGCTCAGGTCATGATCTCATGGTTTGTGAGTTCAAGTCCTGTGTTGGGCTGTCCGCTGTCAGCACAGAGCCGGCTTTGGATCATCTGTCTGTCTCTCTCACTACCCTTTGCACCCACGCCTGCTCTCTGTCTCTCTCCTTCTCTCCCTGTCTCTCAAAAATAAATAAACATTAAAAAAAAAGAAGAATATTGGTGCTTGGTTTGATATAGGTTGTCTTTATTATAATAAGGTAGTAACATTCTGCTTACACATAAAATAGTTTTTGTCTTTGCGGCGCCTGGGTGGCTCAGTCAGTGATGCGTCTGACTTCGGCTCAGGTCATGATATCACAGTTCGTGAGTTCAGTCCCTGCGTCGCGCTCTGTGCTGACAGCTCAGAGCCTGGAGCCTGCTTCGTATTCTGTGTCTCTGTCTCTCTCTGCCCTTCCCCTGCTCACACTCTGTCTCTCTCTCTCTGTCTCAAAAATAAACATGAAGAAAAAAGTTTTTGTCTTTTTTTTTCCATGTTTTTTTTAAAATTTTTTTTTAATTTTTTTAAATGTTTTTGTTTATTTTTGAGACAGAGAGAGGCAGAGCATGAGCAGGGGAGGGGCAGAGAGAGGGGGAGACACGGAATCTGAAGCAGGCTCCAGACTCTGATCTGTCAGCACAGAGCCTGACGCGAGGCTTAAACTCACAGACTGTGAGATCATGACCTGAGCTGAAATCAGATGCTTAACTGACTCAGCCAGCCCCTTTTCATGTTTATTTTTGAGAGAGAGAGAGAGACAGACAGACACATACATAGTGTGAGCGGGGAAGGGGCAGAGAGAGGGAGACACAGAATCTGAAGCAGGCTCCAGGCTCCGAGCTGTCAGCACAGAGCCCGACACGGGGCTTGAACTCACAGACCATGAGATCATGACCTGAGCTGAAGTTGGACGCTTAACCAACTGAGCCACCCAAGTGCCCCTGTCTTTTTTAAATTAGAAATGGATATTGATTTACCAGATGCTCTTTTAGCAGCTAGATTGGTTTTTTTTTTAAGGTTTTATTTATTTATTTTGAGAGCACGTGGGGGAGGGGCAGAGAGGGGAAGAATCTTAAACAGTATTAAAAAATGATATGTTTCATAGTAGACAATGAGACTGTTATAAACCCAAGTCACTAAAATACGCATCCTCTTCCAGGCTAGCTGCTGTTTCCTTATATTGACACTCTAAAAGGCAGGGAGTAGGTGATGTGAAGAACAAGACCATATTTATACTAATTTTTCCCAACTGGAAAAATCATCTAAAATAGGGAAATTTCCCCAGCTCAGATGGCCTGACAATAAAAAATAAAGTCAAGAGTGATACCAGTGGGTGACTTCTGAGAGGTAGAGTGAAAATGAACAAACTTCTAAGATACTTGAGTCTATCATCAGGATAGGTATGTATACTAAATGTTTGGACAAACATACCCTCAAATGTCTTACATATTTAGAGAGCATTTCAGACAGTATTTGTCAGGACTGTTACTGGTCCTGGTTGTTTGTCTGTTTTAATGCTATTAAGTATGAATTTCTGATAATTTTTATTGAATAGTTTTTTTCTTTCTCTTGTAGGCATTATATGAACTTCTCAAGTGTAACCATAATATAAAGGAAGCAATTGAAAGGTACTGCTGCAATGGAAAGGCATCTCAAGGTAAGCAAAGCTTGGGATCAAGAGAGGGAAATGACAGGGGATCCTCATTTGGGGAGTAGAATAAGCAAAGTATTATAAAGGATGGAGCAGTCCTGTAACACTTTTGTAAGATCGGTGTTCATCTTCATAGCGAATAATTGTTTCCTTTTCTTGCCCTCTATTTTTAGACGTACCAGAGATTTTTCAAATACACATTAGTTACCCCCTGTCACCTCCACTTTCTTGAAGAAATAGTTACAGAACAAAGCAGACCCCAGAGATGACAATATATCCAAAGTAATTAAAAAGAATGATTTTTATGATTTCACTGAACAAAAAGTTGTTTTTTTAAACCAAACAGGAAATGGAAAGGAGATTAAAGATAAAAAAGAAACATGTATAAAATATTCCATTGAATTTATTACAAGAAGGGTGTTTTTAGTAATCATGTAATAAAATTTTTACAGCGCTTAGGTTTTGCTTTGTGTATGTCAAGGAAAATGGTTAACTTTAATTTCAGTAGTTTTGTTATTATATAAGTGAATTGCATGCACCATGGCTTTCATTAAGTAAGTAGGTAAAGAAATAATACTCTAATATTATATAAATGGCTTGGCAAAAACAGAAAAGCTGAAAAGAGTATGTTTAAACTTGTAGGTTGAGACAGTCTTTTGGAATGTTTCCTTATAAAAGTTGTTTTTTTAAAAAACTTATTTTAAGCTCTCCTAATGTTGAGAACTAAATACTGGGTTTTTTTCTTGAGTTCAAACTATGTTTTATCTTTATGGTGGACTATTCTTCATGGGGATGTAGTCTCCCATGTCTTTGAGGAAAAAACTCCCAAGTCTTTTCTGCCCCAAATAGATTTGAGTTTATTGTTAGTGTCTTCTGGGAAGTTGAATGGGATTTAGTGTTTTGAGAACATGGGCTGTTTCTTATTCCTGTTAGATTTCCAGAGTGTAGCACTCTGCAAAAAGACTTTAAATAAATGTATATTGATTACTCATGGTCTCTACTTAAAGCACTATGGTTTTGATATAATAGCAAAATAAGGAACTTTTTTTCCCATAAAGGAAATAACCTTTTTTTCTAATTAAAAAAAAATACATGCTTATAGTTTAAAAAAAATTAGAAAAACAATGAGCATAAGTTAAAAAAATTACATCCTTATCCTTTCATGCAGAGAAAAAAAACCTAGTTTTTATATTTTGGTATTGTAGATTTTTAAGTAATATTTATCATGTGTATACTTCAGGTAATCCTAACTGAAATCATTGGATTACAGAACTGTGTGTGTGTGTGTGTGTGTGTGTGTGAGAGAGAGAGAGAGAGAGAGGGAGGGAGGGAGGGAGGTACAGGGAGAGGGAGAGGGAAGGAGTTAGTTAATGGCCTTTTATAGGGGGAAACATACTGAAAGTAAACTAGCAATTCGCATAAAAGATGTGAGGTCAATCAATACATCTTTTTTTTTTTTTTTTTTTTTTTTAACATTTCTTTAGAAGGAATGACTGCATGGACAGAAGAAGAATGCCGGAGCTTTGAACATGCACTCATGCTTTTTGGAAAAGATTTTCATCTTATACAGAAGAATAAGGTAAATTAGGCAGATTAGTACAGATTGCTTAGTAATTACAATGAATATAAACAAATAAGTTTTAAGTCACTTAGGACAAAAGAAAGGAAGAACTTGTTAATGCTCTCCTGACATTAACATTTCTCATATTACTCTAAACATGACTGGGATTTGCCAACACCTACTCCTGGGAATGCTGATAGTGTACTCACCTATCTTTTGACACATATAGTTGTCATATTCATAGAATATGGATTCACTTGGGATGCCTGGGTGGCTCATTCCCGTTAAGTGTGTGCCTTTGGCTCAGGTCATGATCTCGTGATTCATGAGTTTGAGCCCTGCGTCGGACTCTGTGCTGACAGCTCAGAGCCTGGAGCCTGCTTCAGATTCTGTGTCTCCCTCTCTCTGCCCCTCCCCCACTTGCACTCTGTCTCTCTCTCTCTCTCTCTCTCTCAAAAATAAACATTAAAACAGAAAAGAAAATGGATTTACTGTATTTTCCAGGTAGTCTTAGTCTTTTACCATTTTCCTTGACTTTGATTTCTTTCTAAGCTATTCAGAGGTTTGTGGCCTCAGAAATGTTTCCCTTTAGTGGCCAGAACTGCAGTTGCTGAAAGAAGAAACATTGGTTACTAAAAGCAACTATAAATGTTACCACAGCATGAAATGCTGGTGAGGTTGTGGAGCAACAGGAATTCTCATTCATTGCTGATGAGAGTGTAAAATAGTATGGCCACCTTAAAAAGACAGTTGACAGTTTCTTGAAAGACAGTTTGGTGTTTTTTTACAAAGCTAACCATACTCTTCCCATATGATCCAGCAATTGTACTCAGTGGTCTTTACCTGAAGGAGTTGAAAACTTAAGTCCACACAGAAACCTCCACACAAATATTAATAGCAGCTTTAGTCATAATTGCCAGAACTTGGACATAATTAAGATGTCCTTTGAATAGATGAATTAACACACTTTGAGAGGAAGATGGATAAATACACTGACAGATCCATTCCATGGAATATTATTCAGTGCTAAAAAAGAATGAGCTATCAAGCCACAAAGACATGGGGGGACCTTTAAACGTGTATTGCTAAGGCAAAGAAACCAATCTGGAAAGACTATATACTGTATGATCTCAATTATATGACATTCTGGAAAAGGTAAAACTATGAGGGCAATAAATAGATTAGTGGTTTCAAAATTTTTCGTGGAGGGAGGAATGAATAGGTGCAGTACAGAGGATTTTTAAGGCAGTGAAATTATTTTGTATCATGTTATATTCGATAGATGTATGTCATTATATATTTTTCAATACCTATGTAATAAGTAATGACTGAGTGAACCCTAATGTAAATGATTTTGGGTAATAAACCCGTGCTGGTATAGATTCATTGATTGTATCAAGTGCCACTGAGGTGGGGAATTGATAGTGAAGGGAATTATGCATGTTTGGGAGCAGGAGATGTATGTGGGAACTTGGACTTTCTGCTCAAATCAGCTGTGAACTGAAAACTGCTCTAAAAAATAAAGTACTTTTAAAAAAGTGTATGTGTGTGTATATTCTAGTAGTTTGTAATAATTTTCATTAAAGTATGCTTTGTTTATTATTATCTCTCTTTATCCTAAAGGAACATAAGATTCTGAAGTGTTTAGATGGGTAGGTCAATATTTTCTGCCTTTTTCATTAATAGACTTTGTTTTTTCGGGCATTTTGGTTTACAGAAAAATTGATCAGAAAGTACACAGGGTTCCCGTGTATCCCCTTACCCCCACATACACAGCTTCCATTATTATTAATATCTTACATTAGTGTGATATATGTTATAATTAATGAATGAATATTGATATATTATTATTAACTGAAGTCCATGGTTTACATTTGGGTTCACTTTTTGTGTTGTATGGGTTCTGACAAATGTGTAATGACATGTACCATTACATGTATAATGATATCCACCATTATAGTGTCATACAGCATAGTTTCCCAGCCCTAAAAATCCGTGTAGTCTAACCTCTTCCACCCTATTCTTTCCCTCCCTGCAGCCCTACTCCTAACACCTGGCTTTTTACTGTCTGTATACTTTTGCCATTTCAGAATGTCATATGGTCGGAATCATATAGTATGTAGCCTTTTCGGATTGGCTTCTTTGACATAGTAATAACGCATTTAAGGGTTTCTCTATTTTTTTTCATGGCTTGAAAGTGCATTTCTTTTTATCACATTTCTTTCTATCCCATTGTATGGATATACCATCTTATGCATTCACCTATTGGAGCACATCTTGGTTGCATCCAAGTTTTGATAGTTATAAGCTGCTATAAACATCTGGTTGAAGGTTTTTGACTTCTTTGGCTAAATGCCAGTGAGTGGGATTATATGGTAAGAGTATGTTTGGTTTTGTAGAAAACCTTCCAAATGTCTGCTAAATTGGCTTTACCATTTTGTATTCCCAGCAGCAATGAGAGTTCCTGTTGCTCCACATCCTTGTCAGCATTTGTTGTTGTCAGTGTTTTAGATTTTGGGTGTTGTAATAGGTGTGTAATGTATCTTGTTTTCTGCATTTTTCTGATGACATATGATGTGGAGCGTCTTTTCATTTGCTTATTTGCCATCTGTATTTCTTTTTTGTAAGGAGGTGTCTTCTGTTAAGGTGTTTAGCCTTTTTTTTTTTTTTTTTTTTTTTTTTTTTTTTTTTTTTTTTTTTAGCTTATTTTTTAACTGAGTGGTTTGTTGTCTTATCATTGAGTTGTAAGTGATCTTTACATAATTCCAATAACAGTCCTTTATCACATAGGTGTTTTACATATATTTTCTCCCAGTCTTTGGCTGTCTTTTCATGCTCTTTTGCAAAGTAGAAGTGTTTAAATTAATTTTTTTTTTTAATTTTTTTTTTTTCAACGTTTATTCATTTTTGGGACAGAGAGAGACAGAGCATGAACGGGGGAGGGGCAGGGAGAGAGGGAGACAAAGAATCGGAAACAGGCTCCAGGCTCGAACCCATCCCAGCCCAAACCCCTGACAGCGAACTCACGACTCACGGACCCTTGAATCGTGACCTGGCTGGTCGGGCGGCTCAACATTCGCCGCAGAAGCCCCTAGAAGTGTTTAATTTTAATGAACTTCAACCTAACAAATTTTTTTTTTTTTTAATTTTTTTTTTTTCAACGTTTATTTATTTTTTGGGACAGAGACAGAGCAAACGACGGGAGGGGCAGAGGAGACACAGAGAATCGAACAGGCTCAGGCTCAGGCCATCGTGACCTGGCCAGTGAACTCACGGACAGCAGATAAATGATGACCTGGCTGAAGTCGGACGCTTAACCGACTGCGCCACCCAGGCGCCCCACAAATTTTCTTTTATAGATCATGCTGTTAGTATTACATCTTAAAAGTCATGTCATCCCCAAAGTCATCTAGATTTTCTCCTATGTTATGTTCTAGGAGCTTTATAGTTGTGCACATTACACATTTACATCTGTATTCCATTTTTAGTTAATTATTGTGAAAGTTTTTAAGAACTGTGTCTTTTCTTCCTTTCTTCCTTGTTTTTTTATTTGTTTTTACATGTGGCTATTCAGTTGTTCTAGCACCATTTGTTTAGAAGATGACTTCATTGTGTTGCCTTTACTCTTTGTTAAGGATTAGTTGACTGCATTTGTGTGTCTTTTTCTGGGCTCTCTATTCTGTTGCATTAATGTGGGTATCTGTTTTTTCACTAGTATCACACTGTCTTGACTCCTGTAGCTTTATAGTAAGCTTGAAGTTGGGTACTATCAGTCCTCCAGCTTTGTTTTCTTTCAGTATTGTGTTGGTTATTCTGTTTTTGTTTTGTATTGTTTTGCTCTTCCCATATAAACTTTAGAATTAGTTTGTCAGTATTTACCAAATAACTTGCTGGGACTTTGATTAGAATTGCACTGAATCTATAGGTTAAGTTGGGAAGAGCTGACATCTTAACAGTAATGAGTCTTCTTATCCATGAATGTGGGATATCACTCCATTTATTTATAGTTCTCATTTCTTTAATCATATTACAATGTTCCTTACATAGGTCTTGCATGTATTTTGTTAGATTTATACCTAAATATTTCATTTTGGGTGTGCTAATGTAAATGTTGTGTTTTTAAATTTCAAATATCATTTGTTCATTGCTGGTATATAGGCAAGCAATTGACTTTTGTGTGTTAACTGTGTATGCTACAATCTTGCTATAATCGTTTATTAGTTCCATGAGTTTTTTGTGGATTCTTTGGATTTTTCTTTGTATGGTCATGTCATCTGTAAACAGAGACAGTTTTATTTCTTCTCAATGTGTATACCTTTTATTTTTCTTATTGCTTTTGCTAGATATTCCAGTATGATGTTGAATTGTTTAATGCCTTTTTGTATGTATGAAAATCTTATGTTTTCTCAAATATGAGATGAAGTATTTAGTGAATAGATAAAACTTTTTTAAAGAAGGCTGGGTTGTTGAAGTCAAAATAAAACATAAGTTTTACAGTGACTTAGGAAATTTATTCGTTTATTCCATAAATAATGAAGTTCTACAATTTACTGGACGTTGTTTTAAGCACTAGGAATACATCAGTGAATAAGACAGGAAAGTTTTCTGTTCCCAAGAAGCCTATGTTCTTGGGACCACAAAGACTTCTAGTTAATGATGTTTATTGAAATGTACACTTTATTTCTTGGCTTAGAAAGCTTGTTCCCTGGAAACCAATTTGACAATAAACTTCATATATTGAAAAAAAAAAAAAAAGAAAGAAAGCTTGTTCCTTATGTTATGCACTTATGTCATGATCAGTAATCAGGATAGAGATGCTAAAAGTTCCTCATAGGATACTGATTAAGCAGTGGAGAAAGTATTTATTAGAGAAGGACACAGAATTTTGTCTGTATGTTTGAACTCATACCTTTAGCTGCATATAGTTTGAACAGCCCTAGTCTGGATGTGGAGACACGTTGGTGAGGCTCAAATTTTATTGTTTTTGTTGTTGTTGTTACCAAAGTCCTGTAGCTGTGAACCAAACCCACGTTGAAGGAAAACACCCTGCCTTTAGCTAGAAAATCATCTTAAATTGCAGATGCAGTAGAGTGCTGATCCCTTTTCTAAGAGTTTTTAGTCTCTTTTGCATTATGGAACCCTTTGATAATCTGATGAAGCTGCAGCCCTTTACCCCAGAAAAGTGTACCTACATATAATTTTCGGATTTATTAGATGCCCATTAATCCCATTCATGGACCCCTCAGGGTTAAGGACTCCTGCTGCAGTCAGAATCACAATGAGTGTTCAGTGAGGGAAGAAGTAAAGGTTGCCAGTGTTTTAGGATTTTCAGCATCACATCTGGGTACACATTTATTTTATAAACTAATACATTCTGATTGAAATAACAAACCTTGGCCTTTTGAAGGTATCCTTATTATTAAATAGTATAAATATAAAGACATTTTTTTCTAATAAAATGTTCAGAATTTCATAATTCGGGAGATAGAAAATAAGACCCATGGATTAAAGCTATAGTTGTATTAAAAAAATTACTAAAAAATGGATTGGGTTTGTTGGTTTCTACTGAAAAATTCAACTGTCTTTTGTTAGGTGAGAACTAGAACAGTTGCTGAATGTGTAGCATTCTACTATATGTGGAAGAAATCTGAACGTTATGATTACTTTGCTCAACAGACAAGATTTGGAAAGAAACGATATAACCATCACCCTGGAGTTACGTAAGTACCGTGGGCTTTAGAGACTTTTGTTTTAACTCTGATATGCAGTCATGAAATTATTGGGGTATGTTTTTCAGGGACTATATGGATCGTTTGGTAGATGAAACAGAAGCTCTGGGAGGGACAGTAAATTCTTCAGCCTTAACTTCTAATCGACCTGAGCCTCTTCCTGATCAACAGCTGAACATTCTCAACTCTTTCACTGCCAGTGACTTGACAGGTAAAATGAGCATCTTTTTGTGTTCTTCAGCTTAGGGCAAAATTGTGTCTTCTTTGTTTCATGACACAGGACAACTTACTTAAACATTTTCCATTTCTTTTTAGCTTTGACCAACAGCGTAGCAACCGTCTGCAACCCCACGGATGTTAATTGTTTGGATGATAGCTTTCCTCCATTGGGCAACACACCCCGTGGACAAGTAAATCATGTGCCTGTCGTAACGGAAGAGTTACTCACCTTGCCTAGCAACGGGGAAAGTGATTGTTTTAATTTATTTGAGACTGGATTTTATCACTCGGAGCTAAACCCCATGAACATGTGCAGTGAAGAGTCAGAAAGACCAGCAAAGAGATTGAAAATGGGCATTGCTGTTCCTGAATCCTTTATGAATGAGGTTTCTGTAAATAATTTGGGTGTGGACTTTGAAAATCACACACATCACATCACCAGTGCCAAAATGGCTGTCTCTGTGGCTGACTTTGGCAGTCTGTCTGCCAGTGAGACCAATGGCTTCATCAGTGCCCATGCTCTACATCAGCATGCCGCCCTTCACTCTGAGTGACACGAGTGAGGAGCCCAGAAACAGTGGGTGTGCGGAACCAGTAAACTTGAGGAAAGGATCAGGTTTGCTTAGTCTTTCACTGGAAGTTTGAACCTTTTTCACTATGACATCAGTGATGTCAGTATGTATAGAACTATATCTTGATTTATCAAGAGTATTTTCATTTTTCAATCCATAAATGTGGAAATGAACTATGATCAGCAGAGTTGGGAACTAAGATTGAACTCTGTGGTGCAGCTTTAAGCTCTGCTTATCTCTTCCTCATCCCCCAGTACCTCTTCTCCACTCCCTTTTTTTCTATTCTTTTCTGTTCCCCACTGCCCTCACTCCCAATTTTAAAACCTGTAGACAGAGGCCACCGGCTCAAAACCAGCACAGATGTTCTGAACTGAATGGAGTGGCTTCTTTTCGTGTAAATTCCTTTTGCCGTAATGGATGCAGTGGAATAACAATGTTTACAGGTACCGATCCCAATCCCTGCTCAATGTAGCATTTTTTGGTTTTATTTTCTTAATTAAATAAAAGCAGGGGTAGGTTTCTTTAAACTGCACAAACATGCAAGGATTTTTTTAAAATGGAAACTTCTCTCATGTTATTCAACTAGAGCACTTCAGTTTACAAAACAGCAAGTCCATCTTTATGGAAGCCAGCACGAGGAACTGCGTGCAAATTATGAAGACACTTGCTTGGATCCTGTTTCAGAATTCTAGACCAGGGCTACCTTACACAGAATCTGTCATTTTACTGTGGGAAGAGTTCTGTGTACCTTCATTGATTGGCTAAAAATTTGGCTTTTGAAGATGTGGTATTTAGATGGGGTTTTGTCCACCATTGTCAAGATTATAATTCTAAAAATCATACTGGTATTGATAATTTAGTTTATCCTGAGGCAACTGACTTGCAGGACACAGTCTACAGAGCCTAGGATGTTGCCACTCAATGGTTTACATTTGGGACACTTCTTATGTTGTTTGTAGCACTGCAGTTCAAAGTGTTCATATTTTGGAGGGACTTCTAGATTTTACACTTAATGCAGTAGAACCTTGAAGTATATTTAAACTTTTTTTGTTTAGCTTGAACAGTTGGCAAGAAAAATGTGAGTTTCTGTCTATTGACATAGAATGGTACTTTACCACTTTAAGTTTTAAAAAGTGATAGACGTTCAGATGCATCTCACACTCAGTTTTATTTCTATTCCAGACATTGTGAATGAGAAGCCATTGTCATAAACTTTGGCCATTTTTGCTCTATAGATATGCATCTTTAAGTTAAAAGGTGAATTCACATGATACACAATACAGTATTAGGATGTAATAAGCTTTGCTTTTATAGTTCAGTTACAATGGAATTTTGCTTTTTTTTTTTTTTTTTTGCACCATCTTAGTTGAAATTTTCAATTTCTGCTAGTTGTTGTGCTTTGCAAAAAACTTAAATGTTTGGCTGCATTGCTGATATTTGTAAGTATAAGTCGCTTCAAGGTTGTGCTGATGAGTAGATAGGTTGTAGTGACCTTAGTAGTGATGGAAAGGGAGGGTATTTATTATACAAACTGTGAACTGCAATGACATCCTTAGTTTTGGATGATGTGTATTCTTATTTTTGTTTGCAGCATTTTAATGAAGATTGCTTTGAAGTGTTTACGCAGTAGCATATTTACTATAAAATTTAGTTTAGCACAGTGGACAAAAGTAGTTAAATTAATAACTTAAAATCAGTCTCTAATTTATACATCTAAAGTCTAGCATTCCTGTATGCACACAGTAAATAATGGGTAGCCTGGGCTCTATGTTGCTTTCAGATATTTTTATCCAAGTTATCAGCTTCTTATTGCTGTGGTGTTGTGCTAAACTTTGAACCTTATTTCTTTTGTTAAAAATCAGTATACCTTTTATAATTTAGTAAGATACTGGCCATAATCTTCCATTGTTATAACTTTAATTTTCACTCTGGGTTTACAGTGGCTGGTTTGTATAAAATAATTTACACAAAGATGACTGAATGCTAATACCAGTTGCACTTAAATGAACATGCCCATTCTCAGTAGCTGATGCAGTAACATAGTCAGTTTATCTATGCATTGCTGGGATCTTGATATAAGATGGAAACAGTGTTTCTTATCTAAAGTTTTGATTATCAGCAAGTTGAATGGACACTTTAGTTATTTAAATAAAGATTTTTGACCAAAATCCAGAAAATGATATGAGAGAAAAATAAATTCCAGCTAGTTTAATAGATTTTTAAATGTCAATCTGATTTTAGCCTCTTAGAGAGTGCTAACTAGCTGGTAACGTTTACTTTTAATTCCTTGTTAAAATGAGGCAATAATTTGCAAGATTTTTGTATATATATGTAAATTCTTCATATCTTTTTAGATCTAATTCAATATTTTCTGACTGCTTCCGCCATGTATAATACCATTTTTGTGCATGCTTGATGTGACATTCATAAATTGTACCACTATGACTTTATCCATGTAAAATAGCTATTTATTGAATTTTCTTTTAAAAGCTGGATTTACTGGGTTTTGTTTCCTCCAGTTAAGCATCTTAACAGAGAATTTGTTACTGTTTATTAGAAGAATTGCGTTTGAGAGCATGAAAATAACTGATTTGCAATTTTATGAAGAAACAATAATGCCTTTATTATCAAGTGTGAAGCACAATTCTTATAACAAACTGTGATAAATTCTTTTGTTTTCTTTTGCCGCATTATTTTCTTATGAACAAACCAAAAATCCATGGTGAGCAGTTGCATTGTTGGCTGATGTATCTTTTATGTACAGGGAATTTGAAGAGGACAACGGATCCATTTAGGAGTGTAACTGGTGCTGTGATTATAGCAATACTTTTGTTAGTCGTACGTCATCTTTTCCATGCTAGCATTTTAAATGTTTAGTTTTCCTCTTGTCACGGTCAACTGCTGAATTTACTTGAAGGATGTAGAATACTGTTTAAACAATACTAAAGTGTGTACAATTAGGTCAAAGAATTGTGCAATTGTTTCCTTTTTAATTTTTAAAATTGAGGGTCATAAATATTTGAGAACGTCAGATTTAATAGAGCATAGTGATACTATTTAATTTAACCAAAGTCTCTAGTGAATATTTCAACTTTGAATGTAAACTAATGAATAAACCTGACCACCAAGGAGATTGTTTGCCCAGAGTTTCAAAGCACATTGTCTACAAATGGAAATTGAAATAATTTATAAAAATATTGACATTACTATGTTTTTTAAAAAGTTCTTAATTTTTTCACTAAAAGGAGGAAACTATTAGTTTTATTGTTAAATATGGTAGATATTAAAATTCCTCTTAGATGACCAGTGATTCCAATTGTCCCACTTTGAAATAAGTATCCTGTGAATATGAGATTAATTAGTGACAATCACAACAAGTTTTAGTATCAGATGTTCAAGAGGAAGTTGCTATTGTTGCATTGATTTTAATATTTGTACATAAACACTGATTTTTTTGAGCATTATTTTGTATTTGTTGTACTTTAATACCTGGTGTACAGTTCCAGAAATAAACATCTGGAAATCTTTTTTTTTTCTTGGTTCGTGTGAGTATTTGCCACAATTAGATTTTTGTTTAATGAATCATAAGCTATAACTCATGGGACATGGGTAGATATTTAACCACTGTTCGGTTGGTTTTTGAGGCAGTAAATAAGATATTTGATAGTGACAAATGGCAGATAAAATACTTTTTCTTTAAATCCTCTATAACAAATTTCCATATGGAATAAAACAGCCATCCCAAAATGAGGCTAGCTTATACTTTCAATGTAATTCAGGAAATATTTGTTGAATGTCTGTTTTGTTTCAAACACTGTTCTAGGTAAGTATGTCTTTTAGGAAGACGTGATGTCTATTAATTGTGTTGTTATTTGACAATGTATTTATGGTAAACTAGTCTTTCTTATCCTAGTATACATAGTTTAGTAGCCTCGTAGAAATATCTTTTCAAAACCTTCATCTTTCAAGCTGAAGATCTCAGTCTAATTTCACAAATTTGTTCGCATATTTCATTTCCTCTGAGCAGAGCTTTATCTAGTTCTTTTTT